AACTGGCTCTGTGGCCTTCACTTCAAGAGCTTCGCCTGTCCTCCAGGTCAGTTTGCATAAGTGCTGAATCTAAAGATAAATAACTGCACTAACACGGGGTCTTTTAATGTTACTTTCTTAAGATGTCCAACACGGTCTTAGTATTTTTAGAAAGATTCAAAATGGAAAAGTGAAGATGATGATGGTGATGATGATAGATAATAATGATGATGATAGATTTCTTATAATTCCCACTCTTAGAGACTCTTCCCCATAACTCCAACAGCACGCTAACCTGATCAGAAAGATTATCAGAATTTGTATGAGGTACAATTATATGCAGCACATTTGTGTTTAGAAACTAATATATTTTGACATTATAAAACACTAAGTGTTCATCGTTTTGAAGCAGGATGTTTCAGAGTAAAGTAGCAAAATACCATTTATCTGCACAGGCCAGTGTTTTAATTTTAGGTCTAATATGGTAGCTACTAGTCACACGTGGCTACTGAGCACTTGAAACATGGCTAGTGTGACACCAACTGAAATTTTACTTTAATTGAAATGTAAATAGCCACTCGTGCTATATGGACAGCACAGGCTTAGATTAAACGAGAAAGTCAAACTTGCTCATTTTCTCAGTGAACCTGGATTCCTCCCGTAACTGGCAGGGAGCAGGGCTTCCCGCAGCTGCTCCGCGAGCAGACACCTCTCTCTCACCACGGCACGGTGACAGGCGGCCTCGGAGCGCTGAGGCCTGTCAGCCCTGTGAGGTCACTCACCGATGGTTTACTGTGCTGCTGCGGACATCTGTGCTCAGATCTGATCCTTTAACATACGTACTTAAGATAAAGAATTTCTTGTCGGGTTAGTGGTTTGTATTAAACATCTACGTCCTGTTTTATTAAACTGCATTTGGCTAACTCTCCTCCGCTCGTACAATAAATGGCAACTGTTTTCTTCCTGATGCTCAGGCCCAGAACCTCAGTTTCTCTTGATTTCTTTCACTTTCACCTTATATCCAATCTATCAGCAAATTCTGCTGGCTCCATTTTCAAAATATGTCCAGAATCTTACCATTTCTCAAGGTATCCACTGCTATCTAGACTGAGCCACTAGCAACTCTTGCCTAAATTCTTCTAAAGCTTGTTGACAGGTCTCCTGTTTCTCCCTGGCCTGGCACATGTTAGGTGCTCGATAAATATTTGCTGAATAAACACTGGCCACCTCGTCTAATGATCTTTATGAATTATCTTTCATACACAGGGTGGGGAGGGTGTGAGTGCTTACGCCCTATTTCTTGTGGGTTATTTCGTACTTTCCCACCTTTGAGTTTTTGAGTTCATTTCACCTTAATGTCCATGACAAAATAATCCCATTAACAGAAGGGGGCCAATCTGACTGGAAGCCTGTAAACTCTTAAACTGTGGTTTTTGGAAAAGAGCAGGTATAATGAATTCAGGTACTTTTTGAATCCTACCTTAAGGCTAGCTAATTTTTAATCACTATTTTTTAATAAAAGAATTGGTCTTGTCTCTTTAATGCTGGGGAACAATTATCTTAGATATCACTGGTGTTTATTTCTTCTTTTATTTGTAACAAAACAGATATGGGTCTACCTTGAAGAAGCTTCAGAGTAACTGGAAATATAGATATTAAACAGGACACTACAAAGATAACTCATATACCTGTGATGGGTAATACACTAAAAGACGCAGACAACAATATATAACGGAAAGATGTGACTGAGAAAGCAGTGAATGAAAGCGGAAGGAGAAGTAGGTCCGAGCTGGGTACGGTGGGCAGCGGTGGGGCGAGAAAAAGAGTGACCCGGGCGGAAGCCCCTGAAGTCAACGACTGGAGAGAAGGGAGAGGGGCCGCTGCTCAAAGATGAAGCTGGAAAGATACGAGGAGTCCGACGCCGTGGGGCTGCGTAGATCACATTCAAGACTTTGAACGTTATTCTACAAGAATTGGGGAACCACTGATGGATTCTGAAAAGGAAACATTTTAGTTTGCATTCTGAACAGATCATACTACTTAGAGAATGGCCAGGGCGGGGAAGGGGGGACCGGAAGCAGGGAAGGAGGGCACCGTCATAACAGTCCTGGATAGAACTGAGGCTTCCTTGCCCAAAGGTGGGGCGCTGCCTCCAACGAAAAGAAGTGAAGAGATCTGACAACTGTCTAGGAGGCAGAATCGACAAGACTTAGCGGCTGATGGTGCTGGTGGTAAGGAAGGAGGGTCGAGCATGGTTTCTCGTTTCTGGCACAGCAGTCAGAGGCCGTGGGGCTGTTTTCGTGTTGTGCCGTGAGCATGGAGGGGCTGAACTGGCAGCTGGTTACCCTGGCCTAGAGGTCAGAAGCCAGGCCTAGACTACATACTGCACACGGCGAAGAATCACAGGGGCCAGGGAGGGGAAGGCGGGGGCCGTCTGCTCTCCTAGTACCGTTTCCAAACTGACACATGACGTCTAGGACAAAAACGCCCAGCGTCTCTCACTCTACAAGTAACAAGAGCAAGTAAAAGGCGCCCCACAGGAACGAACGAGGAGCTTCTCCAAAATGTTCAATTCTGTTGTTTTCAAATTTTATATGGACGTGTAATGGGCTAAGACATCCTTGAAGAATGCAAAGATTGAGGAGATTTGCCCCACTGGGTATCAGAATGTAAATATATACAGAAAGACAGCAACAGTAATTACGACGACGTTACACGGACCCGAGATCTACCACCAGTCTAGCATCACACAGACTTGAAAACTTTGCAACTGAGCCAGCAAGTCAGAGTCAGGAGGACAGAGGAATGACTTGAGCTTCCTTTATGGGAAAAAAAATATGAAATTGTACCTGTGAATGGATTTTATTTTTCTTTTGCCTTATGGTTTGTGCCTTCTGTGTCTCGTATGTCATATCACAGGGTCGTTATTTGCCTGTATTTTCTTTCAAAAAGTTTTGTGGCGTTTAGGTCTTTTAACTACGCAGAATTGATTTTGCTGTATGATATGAGATGGTCAGGCACAATTTCACATTTTATCTAAACGACAGTGGTATCGCTATAGATATAAATATGTATAGAGAGAAGGAACGGGGTTCAGTAAACTGTGGCCCACAAGTCAAATGTGGTCCACGACTGGTTTATATAAATAAAGTTTTATTGGCACAGAGCCACATTCATTTATTTACACCTTGTCTAGCTGCTTTCACTCTAAAACAGCAGAGTTGGGTAGTCAGAACAGACAGTAGGGCTCACGAAGCCTAATTTTTTTAATATCTGGACTTTTACAGAAAAAATCTGCCAACTCCCGATATTTAAAAAATCTTAAGTTCTATAGCTGAGCAAAAACCAACAACTGCAGAATACGGTCAGTGTATCAAATAATTTATGTTCTAAAAGCACACACAACGTACTCTGACATATTTTCTACGAGTACAGGTAATAATATTGGGAAACGATCTAGAAGGATAAGCACCAAGCTAAACTCACCCCTGTGGTCATTTCTGGGCGCATGCAGGCCACAAAGGATTGGGAGTTGGCCAAAGGGGACATTGGCTTTATTCGCACTTTCTTTGAAATTTCATTTTATTTGTTTTAAGGAGACAAATTCATATTACTTGAGTGATCAGACTTTTTAAAATTAATTTTTTAAAAGCAAGGCTGGCAGAAGCAGAAATAGGAATAAATGGAATCAAAAAATGTGAGCTCTGACCTTGGTCTTTACTGAGCACTTCCAGAATTTTCAGCGTTCTGATCCTACACACACCTTTTAGTTTTTTTCAGACCTTTCTCCCAGCATTCCTCTTACCTACCCTTTTCATGAACTGCAGAACTGGGGTTTTCAAGTTTTAGGGTGAAATGGGGGATGAGCCAGAGGCAGGAAGGGATGGAGGAGCGGTAGAGAGAAGGCACAGGCCAGAGAATGGCTGAGTCCTGCCAACGGTCAGCCATTTCGGGATTATCGTTCCTATCTCAGGGCCCCTGGGATGGGTGATGACAGCCAGTCCGAGGTCTGGCACTGTCCCGCAATCAGTCCAGGCTCGTAGCCTCCATACTCCAATTATCACACAAATCACGTGACCAAGAGATCTTGTAGCACTTTTAACATTTTCTGTCCATCAAGGAAGTTTGCAAATGGGACTAGTTTTGTTAAGAAAGCACACATGAGAAATGAAAAGAAATGCTAGTCATGAGCGATTCAGGCCTTGAATGGCACATGTGAAGTCTGAGTCCCAACCAGGCCGCTTTATGCCGTAACGTACCAAGATAACATGGGCACGAATGATAAAATACATAGAGTCCACCTTTGGGAAGACTAAGTAAGTAGAAATTCAAGTGGAAAAAAACATGTATGATTTTAGGACAGTTATTAGTCATTATCAATCATGGGAATCATTATGGTAATAGTTTGTGACGCGAAAACATAAAATGTCAAATGTAGTTTCCAACTGCACGTATCTATCCAAGATTAGACCTCAGACAGCCAATCTGCATACAGAATACCTAGAAATTATGTTCAATTCGGAAAAAGCAAGTGCTCTAAAACGGTAATAAAAGCAGACATCCAAAATATTTTAAAAGAAGGTAAATTCAAAAGATAGGGTATATCAAGGACACGCTATTTAAAGGGACCTGTGCAAGTCTATCTACTTGAGCAATTACCAGCAGGGGAAACAATGCAATTCACCAGCTATGGTACCACAGCCACTTCTGCTTGTGAGTCAGAAGCCACTGGACAGCCTGAGGAAGGCTGAAATAACCTAGAAAAACCTGACTATCTGAACCACAGTTACGGTGGGGAGAAAGCACGTTCGCCAAACCGATCTCTTAAACGACCTGTTTTTAAACAGAATCCGGCATTATTTTGACAAACCTCCACACGGGAGAGTAAAAGTAACAAGAGTATTCACAAAGGACAAGGACTAAAAACTATATCCACGCGTGTACGTGTATTCAGAACTGAATGTCATTTCGTTTTAAGTTTCTCCGAGGGAAAACAAGAGATTGGCTTCTAGAAAACTCACCTCCGTGTTCTAGAAATACTCGAACACACCTTTCCTTTCCTCTCGCCGCGGAGAAATGGAGCAGGGTCCAGCCGTTCGCATCCCGGCCATTTGGAGAATAGCCTTGTTCCAACATCTTCCGTACCGTGTGGACATCGCCGGCGGCCACTGCAGCCTGGATCTGCAACTCTTCCTGGAGCTCAGGGTTCCTTCGACAATGGTGGTGTAACATCCTAGCTGAGTCCGCTTTTTACAAAGGATTCATTAGGTCACAGGGATCAGCCTTGAAGGGCGGTAGAACACACGACATTTAGCATGTTTGGCTCCTGACAGTGTGTCCATTAAAGATGAAAGAATTTTCCACTGCTAAATCACATGACTCTGAGTAATGACAGTTCAACTACTACTAAGACTAATTAACATGTAGCTGTCAGGACCAACACTTTTAGTCATTTCCCTAAGATGGTAAAGATTTCAAAGTGAAAGCCAAGAGTAATGGTCTAAATGGCTGAGACAGATTTCTTCTGCAGGCTTCTGAAAACGCGAAGCGAACACCCTATGAACGTGACAGCACTATTTTGGGTAAAACGGAAGGTGATGTTGAGCCCCTAGAAAATAGGACACGGAGGAGTCAGACGAGTACTCCTCCTCTTAGTTCAGATTTACCTGATGCACATGGAGATTTAAGTTCCAAACCATTCAAGGAGCCTAGCACAGATCAGTGAGTAAATACAGAGTACCGAATGAACAACTCATAAAACACGAGAAGCCGTTAAAAAATACAGCGCAAAACTTTTAGGCTGGTTTCCTAAAGTATTTCAACGGTATCTTATTTTAGCCCCAAAGGATGGTAGGTTGGGGGGGTCACAGAAAAGGAGGGTGAAGTAAATTAGAGTAAAATGTGTAGATTATATGGACTTTCCTTTATTTATGTTTTTCTTTTTTATTGTATTATTTTACTTATTTATTTGTTCATTCGTGTTTTTCTATCCTCCCCACTTTGTTATTGGATATAAGATTTAGTTTCTGCCACATCTCTTTACATTTTTCCTATTTCGCTTTCGATGAGTTTTACTGTATTAACATTCAAAGTATCCAGGTCATATAAAATATTTAAAAACTGCAGGAATCTAAACAACCTGTGGATGAACCACATGAAAAAAAATTATTTTAAAGGAAAACATTTCCCACACTATTAGGTCACAAAAGTCTGTACTCGAATTCGATATATAACGAGATCTCCTTTATACAAATAGGAAAAGTCCAAATTAAACTGATGAAAAGCTGTATCTTATATGCCTGTGTACAAAAATATGAGTACACTTTTAAGCTTTTAAAGACGTACAGAAACTAACAGTCTTCTAGGAAGCCATTCCATCTGGGCTGATTTTAAGGAATATGTTAGACACATCTCCTAATTAGTAAGTTTCCATTTCTGATAATAAAAAAATTATGTAATAAAATCCTTTAAAGACATTCTGGTCTCACATGCAGGTTAGACGTCTTGAGATAATCTTGTTACCAATAAGAATTTATCTGATAAAACTTCTCATGATAGATTGTACGAAGGTAAAACTAAGCCCAACTTAGGTCACATCATCACAGCCTGAGCATAAACAAATATTCCACATTTTATACACAGAAAATCGTTATTACAAACTCAGAAGTACCACGACTAAGTAATGTCATTTAAAAATATCAGGCTACGGCTACAAAGAGCTATTTCCTCAGGAAAAATTGGGAAATGAGAAATTTCCTGACGAACTGTTTTCTTAATAAATATGACTTCCCCCCATCTCTCTTCACTTAATTACTTTTTCTCAGCTGATACCAAAACTGAGTCCCGTTTTAGAAACTGGAAAACCAAAAACTGTTTTTGGAATAGGTTTTCACTTATTGTTAGTGTTTGAAGAGATGCTGAAGACCACTAGAAAGAATTAAGGGAAATGACTACTATATGCTCAAAACAACGATCTTTAACAGATTTTTTTTTCATAAATGGAATGATTACCTTGCCACTTAAATGCGGTCTACTAAGCAAGAAAAGGGTTCAAACGATATCCAAAAAAGCCTAGATTTTCTTTTACCAAGTGCTATGTTTAGTATACAGGAGCTGAGCTGAAGGAGAAAAGAAACAGGGAAATGGCTTCCCCCCCGAAAACAGCACAGATGACTAATGACCCTCGGTCACTTACCTTACAGAAGAATGTCCCTTCTCCTGATAGGTGGGTTGCCTAATAACCATTGTGCACATAAAGCATTATGGGGAGGGGACGCAGAGTGTGTCCAAATCAAGGCGCAAATCAGCTTCCTTAACCTAAAAACAAATGAAAGACAATTGTGGGAAAATTCTTAAATGAAAAAAATCAAACCTGTCTGCGCTGTCTACCTTTTGATGAGCTTAAATTTCAGCGCTTTACCACAAACTTACATAACGGAGGGAGAACTCAGAGTAAGTCTTAAAGAAAACGATCTTAATATCTATATGCATCTCCGAGGTGGTATAAAATGATTTATTTTCAGGAATTTTTTTTTTCTAAAAAGGTTGTTTTTGAAAAAGAACACAGAAAATACTAACTCACGCATCTGGAATTTGGATGCAAAGCCAAGTTCTGTTTGCTCAATGCAGAATATATTTTCAGACTTGCTTCATTTGAATTACTGTTATTATAGCTTTATTTTTTCAATTATAGTTGGTACACAACCTATCAGTTTCAGGTGTACAGCATGGTGATTAGACATTTCTATGACTGATGATCACCTCGATAAATCCGGTACCCGCCTGACACTATACGTAGTTATTACAGTGCTACCATATTCCCTATGCTATATTCTACATCCCCACGACTATTTTGTAACTACCAGTCTGTACCCTCCCCCCTCGCACCCATCCCCCTCCCCCTCACTTGAATTACTTTTTAACTGACGCCGTTAGTCACTTGATTTTTCTAAACAGGACTAAAATGAGAATGTGTGTGCATCCAATACAGTAGGTGGCCGGAGCCAAAACGGAATCTATGGCAACTAAACGGAGATTATATCTTTAAATGCTAGCTCTTCCTCTGTCCAAAAAGCATCACGTTAATCACTTTGAAGTTGTAATTCCTTTACGCACACGCCAAACTAGGTAAAAGATGAACAGGGCTTGCCGCTTCCCCATTTGAATTCTGAAAAACTTCGCTCTACAAGTAAAACAAAAGGGGTCTTTTCCCACATCGATTACATCCGAGGTCTGTGAATTCCACTAAGACACATTCGAGGTGACTTCCACACACTCTGCCAGGATCGCTCTAGGAATTACCCATTGGGAGAACTGCTACCCCATCCTGGTGGGGATGGGTGTGCTAAAGCCCTCTGTCGCTTAAACAAGAAAAGGTTGGACCACCTGGCAACCTGATGTGCTATGGATAAAAGTGACAGTAACAGGTGCTGCTGGCGGCCCGCCAGAATTTTCAACCAATCCAAATTCGTCTAGTCTTTCTTCTTTTCATACCTAATTTCTCCTTGTTAAACTTCTTCAAAGAAAGTCAAAGACTATGCCGACGTGTACTGAGAAATAATATTTGATTTAAAACTACGCCGGTTCTTTCTAAATAAACGAATTAGTCACGATCAGAACGACTCCTACAAGGCAAACCGTAAAAAGATGTAGTATTAGCCTCACGCGAGTGGCCGATTCTAAGACTGGGGCAGGAAACACACAAAGTGACCCTGGAGCATCTTACAGTGCCAAAAAGAGAGGACGTGCTCAGAGAAAAACGTAACGACAGGGGTGTGTCAAAGGGACCCAGGAGCCAAGTGAGAGCTCTCATTAGCCAAAATGGAACAATCTGAACAAGAGAAAGTACCACTAGATTCTAACCCGAAGTATAGAATAAATAACTGATTGAATGACTTAATAAAGGGTGGGGGGTGGCAAATCTGTGCAGAATTCCAAATAATTTGTTTAGAATCTTCCCTTTCAAGAAAGTGGAGCATAACTCCCACTCTTGTACAGTGAGAAATCTGAAAAATAGCGCCTCGGCCCGGTGACTATATGGTTAAAATCGGCTGTTAGTTGGATATGATAGAAGCCAGCGCCTCGGCCCGGTGACTATATGGTTAAAATCGGCAGTGCCAAGTTACGCTGTTCGTTGGATATGATAGAAGCCGTCTAATCGTAAGAAAAATATCGAATTGCAATTGAGTAACATTCTACAAAATACCTGATAAGTACTCCTTAAACAGTCAAGGTCGTCGAAAATAAGGAAGTCTAGAAACTGTCACAGCCAAGAAGAGCCTAAGGAGACAAGATGACCTCATGTGATGCTGCCTCCTGCATGGGATCCTGGAACAGAAAAAGGATATTAAGTAAAAGCTAAGGACATCTGAATACACAGGGATTTTAGTTGATGATGATGTTCCCGACTGGTTCGTTAACTGTGACAAACGTACCTATTAATGTGAGATAGGGTAACTGGGTTTGGAGCGTGTGAGAATTCTGTACTATCTTTGCAATTTTTCTGTAAACCTAAAACTATACTAAAATAAAAACTTAAAAAAATACAAAACAATGTCGCCGATGATGAGCCTTCAGCGTTTCCACAAACGAACCGTGATTATTTCCCAGACGAGCACTACCTTCCACAGTTCAAGACTGAACATCCCTGGATGCCTTACTGCTAAGTCTGTCCCCAGCACCCCATCTCCCAAGAGAAGGGGAGGCGACCTTCCACGGCTTCGAACCTTTAAGAATCCTTTTTTGTCACTGTCTTCCATCTACCCATCACCATCTCACAGAGACAACGGGGGTGGCTGGACGTGAGGGCGTGTGAGGTGGAGGTTGAGGAAAAGAGAAAATAGTTATCGACTTATTAGTAATATCGAGAAAGGGCTTTGTGTTAAAAGATGAAGTGACTACATTATTCCTCCCGGTAAGAAAGATGGGCAATGGTAACTTGTGATAAACCCATATCGGCTACTGCAATCAGACAGATGACGTTCTACTGAGCGCCTGACATGTGCTTGGCACACTGCCAAGCCTTGGCCACCGGTATTGCCCCTGGGTAGAACTTTGCTAGAGAGTTCTGCCGACTTAAAACGAATCAAATAATCCTAGAACGTTAGATCGTGTTGCTTTTCTGACAACGCCCAGCACTATAAATAATCACCACAGATTTACAGCAAAAAGCACCATACATGCATCAATCTTCAGAAGGAAAAACACACACGATGCACCCAGGAGCCCCGTCAGCTGCATTCCTTAAATTATAAAGGACAATGACTTATCACCAAATATCCTGAGAGTCCAAAGCATCAGACAATTAATTCTAACCTGGTGCTATGTTATGAGAGTCTGCAGTTTAAATAGAGATGATAGCTAGCCAGGTATGTATGAGTAAAGGAAAAATAAAGATTTTTGAACCTAAAAAGTAAATACAGTACTCAGTGGTAAAGTTGCCTATTAAAAACCACAGAGGAAGTTTAGAAATGAGAATGGAAAAAAAGTCCACTTCCCCTGAAAGAGGGCAAGTTTAAAAATCTGATCGTTAATGGAAGTCTCTTATAAAAGAATATAGTGAAGGAAGTGAGTTTCTAAATAAATATATGTATAGTGTAAGTTGTTTTTAAATTAATAATGACTCAGAATGACTAAAACTCTGAGGGTAAATCTTGAAAAATTCCATTCCAGTTTTCACAGACAGAAAATAGAAAAACAACATACTAACAGGGAAGACTTCGGGATTATACATTAAAATGGGCAACTTTCCCAATGTACCATTTTTATACGAGATTTTATTACCCAATGTTAAATGTGTTTAAATTTTATGAATTCATCTTTTCTATTCTACACAGGGTCAAAATATAACCTAGGCCTCCAAGCTTTTATACTGTCGACCGTATTAGAAACTATAAATTTAGGAATTAAATGTTACCATCTAATTTCCATATAGAGGCCAAGTAAACTTCAGTTAAAACCAAAACTTCTTGCTTCACATAATGAAAAGAAAAAAGAAGTCTATATCCACAGGATAGAGTGAATTACATAACTATAAAACAAAATATTCTTAAGACCTGTCTAAAATTGCCTTTCACCATATCTGCCCACACGTCCCCAATTTCCTTTGGCATAAATTAGTCATTAATGGCTTTCTGCATGTTATTTTCACTAAAAAGTCCACACATTTTTTTTTAAGTGATACAAACTAGAACTGTGCTTTCAGATCTCACACCAGCTAGAAACAAGATAACAGCTTGCTACTCAAAAAAAGAAATAAGCGTTTCTTTGCAGAGTAAATAGAGATACAGGCTGGCAAGGAAGTAATATCAGCAACTCCAAGGATATGGGATCTGAGAAAAAAAACCTACCAACGGCTCACAAGTCCTAAAAGGAAGGATGGATGTAGAAACTACTACAAGGCAACACAGCAGAAACGTCTATGAGTTTTACTTACATGATCGAGAGTCTGGAACCCAAAATCAAATAGAGGTGTTATTTTAGTAACACGCAACCTGGTCGGCACTATGTCCCCAAACAAGTAACGCGTTGTATTTCTATTTCCTCCCAATTACCGGGCCTCTACGTAACCTAAGAAATTATGATCACGAACAGTTGATAACTCTCAGAAGTCCCAGCAGAAAAACTAATAATTTTCATGAAATGCGAAAAAGGCAATAGAAGAAATTTTATAATTCACTTATGCAGACCCAAGTCGAAGTTTACCTCACAAGCGTCATAAATGATGAGGTCCTTTTGATATTATCTTATTAATCCACATCTGGCATTATCGTCTTAGAAGCATCAAGTGCGTGCCCAGAAAGTGTACTTCGAGAAAGCAGACGATCAGTCTACTTAGGGAACGCCTTCAGTTGAAAATGAAAAGCAAGGCTGAAAGTCAGGTATCAACTTTATCTCTGACTTTCAGACTTCTTAGGAAGAGTATGTACTTCTGTGTTACCAAAGTTGATTATAAACAAAATAGAGATATTATAACTCAATACAATAGCGATATTATAACAGTCAGTAATTGTGATGCTATCGCTATTGTATTGAGTTATAATATCTCTATAACTATTATATTAGTTATTTTATACTGTTGACCATATCAGAAACTATAACTAATATAATATAGCTAATATAATACTTATATTATAGAAAATAACTCTTGATCATAGCATGCTCAAGGTGCATCACCAAATATCTTCAATTAAAATCAGTTATTTTCCCTGTGTGATTATAAATCTATATTTGGCTATCAAATAAATCAGGTGTTTTGATTTTTTTTTTCTTTTTTTTTTTTTTGAGCTTTCAAAACTATGTGACTGGCACTATAATTAACAGAAAGTTAACTACCAGATTGACAAATGTAAACCACCCAACTGGCCATGTTGGTAAATAAGTAGCCAAATTAAATATTTTAAGTGTTTAGCATAACCTAGACCAACTACTCTTAATCATGCTAATATTAGAAACAGATGCTGACAATTTATATCCAGTCCCTAATCTTAGAAAAACATTAAAAGCTGAGAGGATCAATAAGATACCATTTAAGCAATGAGAATGAACTGGCTGGGGAAACATTTTCCTTCTCTCTTTATATCTCTTTGTATGCTGGACTCACCACAGACTCACCCCCTTATCATCTCAGGTGACAACACCTCTCAGAAATGAAAACATGAGTAGAGGTAAATCTAAAGCAGGAAAAGTATTTAACTAGAAAGGCCTGAATAAAAAACACATTTTTACCTTAAAAACATACTTCAAATATTCTAGCATCTTTTAAAAGTCCTAATGCTCAAGCACCTCTCTGGTGATTCACATACTCAAATAATGAAAAATGTCTTTAACTTTACAGACTTCTGCCTAGCTTTTACTGAGATGAAGTGGACCCTATATACACTTACGAGTTTGCCCTAAAATTCACCACAGAACAGGAGAAACTGATTCTAAATCCCACTGAGTAGCATACACTATACCTTTGGTATCTGGTTTCAGGTCTCAAGAATATGCAAACCCCCAGAGCCTCTTAAAAGTATCTTTAGCTATGTCTTGACAATGAGAAGAATCATGGAAGACGTTAATTTCTGTCTGCGGAAGGCAGAAAGTTCAGAGGAACAGAGTAAATCAAAGATTTCCTAATAACTATTTTAAGTACTTCCTTGTACCTGAAATTCCCTAAACACAATCTGAGACATTAAAATAACTCTGAGATTAACAAGTCACTTTATACTCGTGTAACTGGATGTTAGAAAAGTCATTCACGTGGCAATTTTCGAATTAACTCTTATATCATTTTTCTGATCATATCCCCTCTTTAGGAATGACACGAATGTCCTAAACTTACCTTTTGTGCATTTTTCAGAAACGGCAACAAAATATAGCGGCACAGATGTGATCACCTGACTTAGATGCTTACGTTTCAATCTGACAAATCCTCTGTAAGGGTTTCCGAAGGAGAAATCTTATTTATGAAGAGTGCAAAGAGAAAGCCCTAGATTCTAAACACACCAAAACATTCCTTCGTTTTTCAATTCTCGATGGACAAGAGATTATGTAAAGTTTTATAAATTCTAGATAATCTGAGGTGTAACAAATATTATTTATCTTTTTATATCCACATCTGTCACACAGAAACACAGAAAAGCCTGAAGGGGTTAATTACAGATAAGTACTTCAGAGGAGAATATTGCTTTGATGTGATTCATACTATTAAGGTACACAGATTCGCTTTTCACTAGAAGCAAAGTCATATTATCTTCTAAAACTCATAGATTTCAAGCCATTACTGTACCTTCCTCTATCAAACCCTGGTCAGTTCAGGAACTGAAAAGATTTTCTGATGGAGATAGAGGAAAGGTGACAGGAAGTTAAAAGGGGAAAACAGAAAACCGGTTTAATTAAAAAGCGGAGTCATTCGGAATTAACAAGCAATTAGCAAAGAATTGAGGAAGTCCCCTGAGAGTAGTGGGGGGGTGAGGGGGGCTACAAAAAAGTCTCAGAGTCTCAGAGCAGGGTAAAAGGGTCACTTGCATTAAAAGCTAATGCAAAACACGGAAACACTAGACAGAGAGAAAGGAAGAAAATACGTTGGGGGGGTAGAGTTATTAAAGTGTTAAGGATTAGAGCAAGGGCGGTGTTTCTGTTCTTGCTGGGAAACTGGGGGCCAGGAAAGGGGTGCATTCCCAGGTAACCACCCTGAAAATAGAGCCCCGCTTAATGAGGTAGGGGCCTGGAATAAACAGTGGGGGAGGGGAGGGCCGGCTAGTACCTTTGGAGGATGCTGGTCAGAGGCGCTCTGCTCCGTCTCTGGTGGCGGGGGGCAGGCCCCTTGCTCCTTTCTAGACTCCAGTAGGCACCTCCAACCTGGAAATGAGAAACCAGTGAGGGGTGCAAGGCCCCTGGCGCGAGCAGGAGGGGGCTCTGAGGAAGGGGGAGCAAAGGGAGAGAGTGGTGAAGGCAGGCAGGAAGCAGGGGTGATCCCCGTCCCCCCCACCCC